TTGGGAAAAAAATTTTTCCCCGGGGGGGTCTCCCGGGGGGGTAGGCCCCCCAAAAGAAAATAAAAGAGGGCGCCCGAAAAGGGTCAAAGAAAGGCCCCAGGGGTTTTTTTATGAAAGGTAGGCGCAAGGTGGGGACCCCCCCTTAAAGGGGGAAAAATCTCCCCAGGGGTGTGCAGAAGGTTCCCATTTTTTAATTTCCCCCCACGTGTTTGGGGGGGGAAAAAGCGCCACGGGGGGGGCCGGGTGGGGGTTTTTTATGGGGCCCCAAAAGGGCCTTGGGGGGCCGCTCCCCCCCGGAAATATTTTTTAGGGCCCTCCGGGCCCCCCCCCCCCCCCCCCCCCCCCCCTCTTCCTGGGCATTTTTTTTATCCCTGGGGTGCGAAGTTGTCGAGCTTTCTAAGGCTTGCGAAAGGCGAAAACGTTTATTTTCTGTTCGTCTTTCACCTGTTCGGTCGGTCTGTCTCCATCCGGGTTTTGTCAGAAACCTGACTATTTTTTAACTCGACTTGTTTGGTGTGCTCTGTTTTCGCAGGCACGGCGTGAATGTCCGACACCTCGGGAGAGTGCGCTATCTGCTGATGGAGCAGAACAAGCCCGAGAACGAGTGAGAAAATACGACAAAAACATGGGAGTTACTACGATAGCCCAGTGGGGGTCCCCATATAAGGCGGTGGTAATGGGGCAGCTAATAATGACCGCCTTCTTGGGACAGCCGTTGTATTCATTCAATGTGTAGAACAACGTTAGCTAATAATGACCGCCTTCTTGGGACAGCCGTTGTGTTCAATGTATAGAACAACGTTTTATCATCCGGTCTGTGCCAGCCGATTTCACCCGCGTTGTATAGGCCGACCGCCTTATATAGGCCGGCCGACCACCTTATGTGGGGACCCCTGCTGCAAGCATGAAAGGGAGGAAACGCGTAGGTGTACCGTAGGCCGCATAAGATATCACACCCCCTGGATCGATGTTCGAAGCTCGATTTCTCGGCAAGAAGAGCAGTGACGGGGCCGAAAATGGCGGCATTGGAACCGTGTGGTCGAGAGATTTCCGACGACTTATCCTTTGGTGTCAGCATCCTCTTCGTCGTGGAGTAGTGAAGCTCTGAAAATCGTTCCAAGGGATGTGGTATCTTCCATCATGCAACGACCTACGGTAGTCGCGGGCGGTGAAACATGTTGACTGCCTGCTTGGATGGTTTCGTCATCGGCAAGGAAGGGGATGGGAGTTCGTTGGTGTACGAGGCGTTGTTCCTGGTGAAACGTGTGATATCTCACGATCAGCGAGAAGGAGAACGAGCATCTTGTAGAACGTATACTTACAAAGAGAGACTGCCATTCGAGATAATACCACAGTCGAAAGGGATGTGTTGAAGTGTTTACAGCATGTTTCTATTCTGTCGGGTTTCTTCGTTGTGCCGGTTACACGACAACGCTCTCGCGGGCACTCTTGCTATTGTTGGTGTTCTTTCATCCATATACAATTGTACAACCGCCCCTTTGCTGTTTACTTACTGACGATGACGGTGCTTTGTTGTCGCGTGTGTGTCTGTTCCTTTGCCCGCCCGCCCCCCGCCAAAAACATTATCGGACAGGTTGCTGAAGGACATGATGCTGACGGAGATGATCGCGCGCACGCTGAAAAACATCCTTAGATGTTTTCAGCGAACGTGGATGAAGGCAGAGCGGTCCACGAGCGAGCAGGGCATGCGCATGCTTGGTGAGACGCCTCCCTGGGGGTTAAAACCTCCAGTTTCAATATAGGATGTAGTTTTATTAAAACTTGGCCACTAAACGTCAATACTGTCTGTTGGGCTACACCCCACAGAGGGCTATGAAAACGATCCTCGGGGTAAGGGGTGTTTTAAACGTTACTGCTTTTTCCAAGTTTCTAATCGTTGGAAGTCTTGAGTATGCACAGGGCCCAGAAAATGTGGAACGGTACGTATGTAGCTTCCAAAGTTTTAGAAGGTTTCCAAATGTTTTGATTGCCTTCGAACTCGCTTCGCACAGTTCCTTAGTTTGGATGGAAACAGTTCCAAAACTTTGGGAAAACTCCTGATTGAGATTGGCGTGCTTTGTAGTGAACGACAGCGAGCAGTGGTGGAGGGAGAGAAATATCGTTGTTTGTACACGGCAGGTCTCCGCCCTTCATTCGAGGTCGAGTTATCAACAGTGAAGGGAAAGAGCTTGGGCGACGAATGTAGTAGCCCTCAAGCCTAGGCCTAAGCCTAACCACCTTGTCTTCGTGTTAGGTGGAACAGATTTGTGTTTCCTCAACCCGGACGGAGCATGCCCTACAGCCTATCCCTAAGCCTCCTGAGCCTAAGCCTCTTTGTCTTCGTGTTGGATGGAACAGATATGCGTTTCCTCAGCCTGAACGGAGTACATATGACCCCCAGCCTAACCCTAGGCCCCCTGAGCGTGAGCCTAAGACAAGCCTCCTGATTGTAAGCTTAGGCCTCCGGAGTCTAAGCGCAAGCCTAAGCCTACGCCTAACCCCCCTGTCTTCGTGCTGGATGAAACAGTGGTGAGGTTCCTAAACCTGGTGACCGGAGCCCACGTCAACTCCGCCACGTTCTGGAAGAAAAATGTAAGATGTAAGGGCACTGTCCATGCACAACAAAAACAATCTGTCCATTCACGTTTTGGGCGATAACTTTTTAAAGAAAAAGTTTGAAACGCGAAACAGCGATATTCGTGGTCGTCTCGTCGAGCTACGTCGATAGCTGCAGAGTTTTTTATTTCATTTTGGGAAAATGCAACATTTTTGGGCAAAATGATCCACTGAACCCCCCTAAATCACCATGGTACGTGTATGGTCGGGGGCAGTTTTAGCCTAGGGATAGGAAAGCAAGATTCGGGGTCAGGGGGTGTGGTAGCTTAACGTAGCCTAGGCCCTCGTGCTTCTTCAAGGCCGGGACTGATGCAAAAATCGGAAGTCATGCGAGAGAGCTTGAGGGGACACAAACCACGCTTAGCGTCGTAGGCCCTATGGAGGAGAGTCAACACCGCCCACCATCAAGCGTCTGCTTGCTCTCGGTTGTTGCCGAGTTCGTGTTCCTTGGTGGGTAGGCATGCACGCGGCCTTGCGTTTTTTTTTTTTGTCTCACCTCACGCCCGATCGATTCCGATGCCGTGCCTCCTTTTTCATTCTCTTGTGTTGACGCGTGCTCGTCACAACCACCGTAAACACCAACACAACCACCAAGGTGTTAACCGGGGTGCTGCAGAGGTTCGGGCTCGTGTCCCTCACGACGTCGGAGAGGAGAGACGTCCAGAAGATCAGCCGGAACCCGTGCGTCCTCCAGGACTGCGTCTTCAAGCTGACGGAGATGCAGGCGAGTTTTGATTGACCCGAGGTTGACAGGAGCCGCAAGTGTGTTCAACACTGCCTAACCAAAAACGCGCGCAGGTTATTGTTGGTGAAGGTAGACCATGTCACGGGCAGCAAGCAGCACGTAGGCAGTTCGATTGAGAAGTGGCAACGAGGATTCGAACGTGTGAGAGTCGGTTGCCGTGGGAAGGCTTTGGACTTTTTTCTTGTGGTTGCCTTTGCAATGATCTTACAGCAGTGGGGGTCCCTGTTTAGTGCCGGTCTTTGCCCAGAAAATTCACCGGCACTATACCGGACCGGCACTAGTCAAAGTACTCACAATGGCTTGGAAATTCGGTGTGTTCCCAGTGCCGGGCATTGGCATTATTCAACTGGCACTAAACAGGGACCACCTCTGTACCTGGTATGTTGCGTTTCGCCGAATCGGCGAGTTGTTGTTGGAAGAGCTTGTTTTTGGCCCCTACATCTCTGTAGAGACTCATGTCGAAGATGGCGTCTTTCTTCTGTACTGTAGATACCACCGCTGACTACTGCTGTAGTCATAAAGTTCGCCCTCCCGGTGTTCATGCATCGAAACCCCCGCCTGCTCAGTTCAACCAAAAATGAATGGCGTCTCACCGCGCTGGTGTTTGGTGCGCTGCTTAGGAGTACTTCGAAATCGATGTGCGCAACGCCTCGAACCCCTTTCGTAAAATCGAAGAAAAACCTTAAAAATACAGTGTGTATACCTGTAAGTACACGGCATAGGACGCACGGCATGGGGAATTTCGGGAAATGTGGAATGGAATTTCATGACGGTGGAAGTACACCTTGTGTTGAAATCGTGCGGCTTGCTCACTGCCACGAGTCTTTGAAGTGTAATAAAGGGCGCCGGTCCAGCTTAGGTTTTGGCATCCCACACCTGTCGGTTGTTTCTTCGTTTTTTTTTTTCTTTTGCTGCACCTCGAGCCTATCTATCGCGTACCTGGTAGCTTTTATGGCGACGAAGTTCATCCGAGGAGATGAGGGCTTTCACTATGGAGCTAGCTGCACGTAGCCTATATAGATCGAACGCGCCACCGCTTAAGCACCCAGCAGCTACGTGCTTCAGCCTCAACATATCCATAATCTAGGAGCTTGGCCGTACGAACAAGTGCTCAGTCCTTCACTGCAACCTATATAGTCGCCGTGGGGTACAGTACCCTATAAAGAGAATAAGAATCGAGCCTGGGCCAACGGTGGCGCGTACTGTACACGTGCAGCCGAATCAAGAAACACGCTCTACACCCTGGAGGATGCGGAGAGATGCCCCCCACTCCCCCCCAGCTCGACTTTCAAAGCTCGATTGCATCACGACCAAGATTGTCTGTACCGTACCGTATACCGTACCGTGGTATTCCGTGAGAGGCGGAAAGATGGCACCTCCCCCAGGCCGACTTTCAAAGCTCGATTGCTCCACAACCAAGGGGGTGCACAAAGAGCCCGATACGTCTATGGAAAGCCCTCGACAAAGTGTTGCCAAATACATCGCTTTGGTGTTGGCACAATCTTGGTTGTGTAGCGATTGAGCTTCGAATATCGTAGGGGGGATGCCATTTCCCCGCCTCCTCAGGTACCCTCGCGAGCGGCAGATAAATACGAACAGTCGGAGGGAGGGAGGCTTTACTACATATGTACATGAGAGACCAAACAGCCGTGTTTGTTCGCGCCCCTTGTGACCAACAAGCTTCGCGGTGCCCCTTGTTGACACGAACGAGCGCCTGACCGGCCCCATTATAGCCGTATGTTTCTGTCTAGTCTGACTGTCTCCCTGTCCCCCTATTTCTCTGTCTCCGTCTCTCTGTCTCCCTATTTCTCTGTCTCCCTGTCTCTCTGTTTCTTTGTCTCCCTCTCTCTTTCTCTGTCTCTCTGTCTCTCTGTCTCTCTGTCTCCCTGTCTCCCTGTCTCCCTGTCTCTCTCTCTTTGTCTCTTTGTCTCTCTGTCTCTCTGTCTCTCTGTCTCTCTGTAGGGAGTGGAGCTAACGGAAGACGCCAAGGCCCACTTTTACGCCGATTCCCCGGTTGGCTTCGAGTTCATGGTCTCAGACATCCACGAGATCAAACCCATCGTCAGAGTGAGAAGAAAGTTAAAGATCCGAATCGATCAAGCATAAGTTTTGTAGTGCATGCCATACCGTGGATTGTTGGTAGGTTGCCCACGTTTTTTTTTTTTATCTCCGGATTTATTTGTTTTGTCTCTGCGTTGTCAAGAACCAACGGTTTCTTGGTTGCCGAGAAAAACGGCTATCGGGAGACCAATATGACGTCAAGCCCACTACAATCGACTCGTTTTTTACCAGATTGCGTTTTTTTACCAGATTGCTGTGTTTTTTTTGTTTTTTTTCCCTCAAGCGTGTCGATGTACCTTTGTCGGCTGGGCTTTTGCTGTTTTTTTTTTTCGACGGATTGGGGATCCTACCCGACAGAAGTGCTGAGGGCGCTGATTAAAAGTGATGAAAATCAGAAAGAGTTTTGGTCTTTTGTTCGTTGCAACAATTGTTGGAAAGAGCCAAGAACAACATTGGTCGGGAACAAAGTGCGGTTCGACATCGTTGTTTGTGGCGCCTCAACTGTTTGCAAAATTGTTCCTGTTACATACAATATAGGACCCGCAATTAAGATCCTCTTACCGTAGGTTGCATAATTTATCACACCAGGCCCGATTCTGAAAGCTCGATTTTCTCGGAAAAGCAGTGGCGGTGCCGAAAATGCGGCGTTGGAACCGATCTTGTACATTGTTTGACAAATAATACTACTTGACTATCTCTGAACACTATATATCCGTACAACCCTGGCCTGTATCAGTACATGCACATCCTGGACTACGGCGGGGGCGTGATGCTGTCGATGCAGGTGAGATTGTGTTTCCAAGCTGGCAGACTTGGTACGCAAAATTGAAAGAGGGTGCGCGTTAGGGTGTTTTCTTGGCCCGAGAACGCCTCGGCGTCTTTTTTTTGTTGCGCTTCGCCTGCTGAGGTCTTATGTGTTCGACTCGGGGGGGGCGGGGGGCGGGGGCGGGGGGGGGGGTGCTTGCTGTTGCTTGTTGACGGGCACCAACACAGCTAATAGGACCAGGACAACAGCTAACCACGTTTTTATTACTTAGTACTGATGTTCAAGCTGTTGTCCCTTGCTTTTAGCGGTGTCGGGGATCCGCCGTGTTGTTGTTTTACTGTTGTTTCGGCTGCGGTAGTGTTTTTCACTGTTAGACTGAGGCGACCTGCTGAAGCTTTGATCTTCCTTCCCACATGATAACGTGGTTCCGGTCGAATGTCCTCCAATACAATTGTACCAAATGCGCATGTTCGCAATTATCCCCAAGAAGAGATAGAAATGCCGCACGCACCCTTCTCGTGTAAGATTGCAAGCAAGCATCTACCGCCGGAGGAACGTGGATATCGAACAACAAGTTGTTCTTGTCTTCCCCCTGTGTCACCTCGGCTGGCCTGTCAAGAACATACCGAAAAGTGTACACGGTACGAAAAAATACACACAGACACAACCGACTTATCTGGCTGGATTTCGCCCTGTTTGCACCTAGATTTTGTCCTTGATATCCGAACTAAATATTGGTCGTGCTCCTTTTTTTGTTCACAGGTGATTCAGTACACACCCTTCGACTGCTTGTGGTTATACCTCGAACGATTTAACCTTTTCTATCGTTGTGTGTATCAATTGGTATGTATGTTTCTAACCCATCCCCTTCGGCTGTGGTTTATCTCGAACGGTAGTCTTCCTTTCATTGTATATTTCCTAACCCATCCCCTTCGACTGTGGTTATAACTCGAACGAGTAGTCTATCTGTGATTTCGGGAAGTGTGTGTATTTGGAGAGTTGAGAACACACTTCGGACACACCGGAAGATGCTATGATATTCCCGAGGTACCCGCCGCCCCCAACCGTCGCTACATTCCGAGCGGTTGGGGTGCTCATCTTGAAACGTTTTGACTGCGGAAACAATGTGTGCGTCTGGCGGTTGGGGTGCTTATCTTGGAACGTTTTGACTGCGGAAACAATGTGTGCGTCTGGCCCCACATTCAGCAATCAGCCATGTGATGAGGATCAGACTAGAGCTACATGTTCTACATTTTCACTTGTTTATTCACTCGTTTCGTTTTGACGTCATTTGCGCGGCAACCAGGCACAAAGGCTGAAGGAAGAGGGGGAACGGAACGCGCGCACAGTGGAACGCCTTCAAGGCATGGCCAACAAGTTCTTCATCACGGCCTACAGATCCCTCCCGGATGATATTGTGAGTACAAATCCCTCCCAGATGATATTGTGAGTACAGCCTGCTGCTGCTGCTGCTGTTGCTGCTGCCGCTGCTGCCGCTGCTGCCGCTGCTGCCGCTGCTGCTGCTGCAGATATGCCGTCGCGACGAAACCGCTTGCACAACGCGACAGTTGTCGTCCACCAACTTTGTTGCCTTCGTAGGTGTCCGTGTCTCGGCCGATGTGACGGAAAACCGTGACTACTGTCGGAAACTTTTCACACGTCTCTCTTTCGCGGCTTCTGATACTCGGTCAATCAGACGCACCAAGAGGATCATCAACAAGGCGACCGGTGTTGCGGTGTGAACACCAGAAGCGTGTCGCAACTGCACATATATCCTTCGGTCATTTACATTTTTCTCCTTGTGTTTTGCTCAAATGCAGGCGATTTTTTTCTCCCAGGGCGGTACTGCTGTAATACAGGTCCAATTCCTCCGCATCATCCACGGTTGTCAATATGTCGTTTCCGTCCGTTCCGTTCCGGCAGGCCACGCGGGCGGCCATCCTCTCGTACCATAAGTCCGTCGCTCTGTTCCCCAGCGCACCGGGCGACCAGTCGGTGCACTCCTCCAGCGGCGGCGGAAGCGGCGGCGGAAGCGGCGGCGGAAGCGGCGGCGGAGGCGGCGGCGAGAGCGTGTACGACCTCAGGGCCGACCCGACCTTGGAGAACGGCGCTCGCTACAGTTGCGTCATGAGGAGCCTGACGCAAATGACGTCATGTTTCACGGTGAGCGAGCGTCCCATGGGGCGGGAAAGATTTTGGCGGGTTTGCTTTTATTTTTGTTTGCTGCAAGTTTTGCTTCGAACCGCGCTACCCCTACCTGGCCGACCAATGAGAATACAGCAAGCAGCGGCGGCTGTGTAAGTTTTTTTTTTAATAGTAGCATCGATCATGGTAAAGGCAGACCGATTTCATCAAATCTTGGGTCTTGTGTGCGTTTTGACCGGCGTCGACCGCGCTGAACGGCTGGCTAATGACAAGACGACAGTCCCAGCACCAGGGCATGAATATTCTAGCACGCCCTCTACTCATTAGGATCTCCCAACAGGGCGGTCGCGTAAGGTTGGACGATAGTCGTGTCTGCCTTTATTTCAGGTGCTCTCCTGATGTGGTGTTGGGTGTGTAGGCGGGCAGTGCCGCGACTCAGGAGAGTAAAGCGGCAAATCCAACCCCAACAGAACTACTTGGTATTTCCCAAAGTTGTGAATCTTCCTGATCTCCCAAATCTCCTACTTAGTGTCCACTCAGATTTACGAGATCCCCGATGCTTCCAAGTTTCGATGGCAGTCTATGTTTCCTGCCTTGAAATATATCTACATAGCATACCAAAGATACCTAGACATTGCTCTTCAAGAAAAATATTTCCTGCTCCAAAATTCAGTAAAAATCTCCAGGAAAGCACAGCAGTAAAACTAAGATGGAAAACCAAGAGAGTGTGTAACTACCGTTGGTACAGCTCACAAATACAAGCACAAAGAAACTACTATTGTTTACCCCCTGTGCCTGCTGTTAATAGCCCCACTGTTGCAGCAATTCTCTTGATTCTGGTCGGAATCCGCAGGTAAAACGCTGATGTTCAACTCGACTTCAAAACGAAATCGCTCCAATCGGTCATCAAAACAGTAGCCTTATTTTTTTTTGTCACAAGTGATCAAAGTCCAAAGCCAAAATCAGAGACAATTCATCCTCAATTCCCCTCGCCAGGACTTAACATTTGTCATCCGAATGCCAAGAAAGCGTGTCCAAATCCAACCGATGTCAATCATGAAGAGGAAGCGAACGCGAACCAATGACGTCGGCATAAAAAAACTACTCAATTCTATGGCGCTCCGAGAAATACGTTGCGGGCGAGATGCTTGTCTCCCGCCGCGGCGCCTCGCCCAAACTCTCTACAGGTCACGCGCAATAACTTGATCGAACGTTGGACGATCGGTGGCACATTGACGCTATGGTACTCTCTGAGGGAGGTCTACACGGGTAGTCTCGGCACAGTTGCATCAATAGGGGGAATGACGCTAACGTTGCGTTTTTAGTTACCTGGTCATCATGAAACGGATTTCAGCCGGATAATCACCCAAGATCCTTGTCAAAGTAGAATCCATACAGGCATGCCATGCAAGCACGTCCGACAAATACACCATGACGTTCTCTAACACGCGTCGCTTGTCCCTAAGCGCACACAACGTTTCATCAACAACTTAGTCAGCCAATTTACTAACGATGACGATGACGATAACTCATGACTCGTATCCAGTTTTTTTTTTACCATTAGCACCACCTTTCACACCAGTGCGCGTGTTTTACGAGACACCTCCGAAGTCCACAACACCAAACTGACTCTCAAACCTGAGCTTTCCCAACCAACACGCACAAAACGGGACAAAACCATTAAAATAACACGATGAATCGTTGCTGCTCGCAGACAGGCCTGAGTCGGGCGTAGAACCCTACGCGCTAGGGATAACAGTTTCTGCTTGCTCCTGGACACTCATCACACTGTAGGCCCCCCGCGGCACAAGGCCCATCGCCCTCCATGCTGCAATCGAACAACTCTTGGCCTCGATTGAACGGGAGGCCTACTCCCAGTGCCCCCATCCTACCCTTCCGCCAGCCCAACGCGTGCACGTTGATCCTCCATCCCAGGTCGTTTCATCTCTGCTGCAGCAGCTTTATTCTTCCTCCCCCATCAGCTCGCACGATGGGCCCCACCACCATCCCCGAGTCGGAGGGTTAAGCTGGACTCCTGTAGTTTCCCGTAGCGCACACCGCCAACCCCGGCATGAGCTCCACCGACAGACCGTCTTACCGCCACCATGGCAACCTCGCTGCCGCCCCAGCTGCGCAAGCGGGCATGCGGGCTGCCCCCCCCCCCCCACACCCCCCACCCCTC